CTGGGTGTCACAAGACCTTTCTTATACAGTATAACTCATAGTATATATATACACTATACATAATATATATAATATACTATACATAATATATATATATATATCTATATCTATATTATGTATAATATATATATAATATATACTATACATAATATATATATAATATACTATACATAATATATATATATTATGTATAATATATATATACTATACATAATATATATAATATAATATACATAATATATATATAATATACTATACATAATATATATATATATATTATGTATAATATATATATATACTATACATAATATATATATAATATACTATACATAATATATATAATATACTATACATAATATATATATATATCTATATCTATATTATGTATAATATATATATAATATACTATACATAATATATATATATAATATACTATACATAATATATATATATATATAATACTATACATAATATATATATATAATATACTATACATAATATATATAATATACTATACACAATATATATAATATACTATACATAATATATATATATATTATGTATAATATATATATATATATATATGCTATAACAAAATCTCATAATCCGAATACTTGAAAGTTATTGTCTCCTCATCCCTCTCTCTGTCTTCTCATTGATCTTGCTGACGTTTACTTTTTGATGCTTTGAATGCTTTGCAATTGTTACGGTGATGGTCGCCTCGAAGAGGGACTTGAAACTCCTTGGAAACTCCTTGGACAGTCAGCATTTTTCAACCGACCCTATGACTGAAATGAAATTCCGGAGTTGACAACCAGGACGCTCCCAAATTCCATCAGTCCACTCCGACAGGTTTTGACCGTTTTGACCTGTTTGAATTTTGTAGGTTTCGACCGCTTCTGCAATGTTTGGGACCCTCAGGATGAGCCCTGACAGAAGTGATGTGAAGTGACACAAAAAGCAGAAGTCTTCGTTCGTTTTTGTCATCGAAGGAATGGCATGCATTGTTCTCTGTGTTAATTTCTGATTCTTCTTTGATCCACCTAGCAGGTGGTTGTCATATTGCTATCATACCTGAAGTGCATACCAAGAAAGTGGAACTGTGAAACCTACCAAGGACTCTGAGAGGTGAGCTTCGCGTTCTCTGCTGACACAGTGATGTGGGAGGAAGAGATCACGTATGGAAGAACTTGAAACAAGAAGAAGAAGAGAAAAATATAATAAGATAAAAAGATAAAGAGTTGGCTCTGCATATGCTGCTCTCGACAAGACGGTGCAAGAAGCTAGCCAAATTTGCCTGGTCAATAATATAAAATCAACGTCATGCAAGTCCCGGGGACGCCTGTAATACCTGCCTCGTGCCGTGTGCTTCTGAACCTGAGCAAGAGGGACCGGTCCACCGGCAGGCAGCTGCAACTCTTGCGCCCTTGAGTCACAGAAGCCATTGCGCACTCTTGCACTGCCGAGCCGAACATCGGGGAGATGCTCTGTAAAGAGCTCTCCTTAGTGTTTGGTCGGGGGTCAAGAGGGGGCAATTGGCCAGTGACGCATGGGTGCTTGAGGGGCGGCTGTCTGTGGGTGGGCCGGAGACCTCTGCTCAGGGTCAGCGGCGCAGGGCCGGGCAGGTTGCACAGGCGGCGCCGGGCTTGGGTGAAGTTGGTTGCCGGTCGGCGTTGGGCCGAGCGGCTTGCGGCTTAAGCTGCGAGTCGCTCGGCCCGACGCCACCCCCGGCCCTGGGCTGCCCCGACCGGGTGATGGGCTGGTGGTATTGTATCGACTACTCTTGTTGAGGGTGGCGCAGAGCTGGCTCACAGGGGCAGCCCAGGGCCGGGGGACGGCAATATTTTTTTTGATAAATGGGATATTTGCGGGGGGGAGATATCAAATAAAAGGAAGAACAAACACTGGTGAAAGGAATCTCTTCCACCCAGCTGCGCGCGTGACTGCAAGGCCACCCTTTGCAAGGGCTTGCAAATGGTATCTGAAGAGATTCAAAACAGTTTCAGCAGAATCAAATGTGTCAGTCCATGACGATAGCAGACTTGTGAGTTGCTTATCAGCACGTTCTGTGCCAGAGCATTTTCTTAAAGTCATGTTTCGTCATTGCGACTTATCGTGTTCTTTTGTTGTTTTTTTTGTCATTTGTCATTCCTTTGTTATTTGGGGTTGTCGTTTTCTTGTCATTTTTTTGTCAATTGGTTGTTCACTCTTTTTTTGGAACCCGGCATTTGAGGCAGAGCCAGAAGATGTTGAAAATCACAGGTTTCCTCGAGTTTTGTCTAATTTTTTGGTCATTTTCTTGTAATTTTTCTGCAATTTCTCGTTTTATTGGAACCGTGCGTTTGCGGCAGAGCCTGAAGATGTCGAACACTTCTAGTTTTCCTCGAGTTTTTGTCATTTTTTGGTCATTCTTTTTGTATCCTTTGTCATTTTAGATCATTTTAGTGTCAGTTCTCCTTTCTTTTTAGCCCGGCATTTGTTGCAGAGCCTGAAGTCGTCGAAAATCGCAGTTTTCCTGGAGTTTTTGTAATTTTTTGGCAATTCTTTGGTAATTCACCCCGCTTCGCGTGGGGTGGCCGCCCACACCGCAGGTTTATTTCGGTCCGTGAGAGGGGCTAAGGGTGGTTTTCCCCCGTGGGGGCTCCCCAAGCTAAGAATTTCACTTTCCCCCCCCGTGGGGGCTCCCCAAGCTAGGGAATTTTCACTTTTCCCCCCCGTGGGGGCTCCCCAAGCTAGGGAATTTTCACTTTTCCCCCCCGTGGGGGCTCCCCAAGCTAGGGAATTTTCACTTTTCCCTTCCGTGGGGGCTCCCCAAGCTAGGGAATTTTCACTTTTCCCCCCCGTGGGGGCTCCCCAAGCTAGGGAATTTTCACTTTTCCCCCCCGTGGGGGCTTCCCAAGCTAGGGAATTTTCACTTTTCCCCGCCGTGACAGCTTCCCAAGCTATGGAATTTTCACTTTTCCCTCCCTTGGAGGCTCTCCAAGCTGCGGAATGCGGAATTTCAAATAGCTAGACAACGACGCCTAGATAGTCCCCCAAATCCCGTGTTCTTTGAATGTGTTTCCATGTTTTTGCAATGGTTTCCTTCAAAGCACGGTACTTTACACTTTTGTCGCCATAAAACCGGTCGAAAACATCATGTTCGACAATGCTTCCAATTCCCTTATCTCCCCAACCGTTGAAAATACCGCTATTTACAGTGTTTTCTTCAATTTTTCCATGTTCCAATGCCGGTAGCCAACTCCAACATATATATAAGAAATCCTTCCAAAACATTGTTTTTGACAGTGTTTTTCCAATGTTTCCAGTCAAACAGACGGTAATTTACACGTTTTTTGCCATAAAGGCAGTAAATCCTTCCAAAACATTGCTTTTGACAGTGTTTTTGTAATGTTTCCAGTCAAGCATACGGTAATTTACACGTTTTTTGCTATAACGTCAGTCCAAAACACTTGTTTTTGCAGTGTTTTCAATGCTCTGGCATCCAAAAACCCTGCAAAATCTTGCTATGTACAATGTTTTTTTCATTTTTGGCCGTTTTTCCATTGCCGGAAAGCTACCAAAATGACCCAAAATTCCATTTCAATACCCTCTTGCGCTCAGACACCCAAAAATCCTCGAAAAATGTCGAAAACACCACCGTATTCTGGTCTCGGTGCGAAACCGTTTTTGGCCCCCCCCCCCCAGCTAAAGCTGATATAGCGACTGCTATATTAACAAATGTCATTGAGCATTTAGTGTTGCTGTTTTGCCCCCCAATAAGTAAGCACGCCTTCACCGCCAAAGCGGTGTGGGCGGATTTTGTTGTCATTTTTCCGTCATTTCTCGTTTTCTTGGAACCCGGCATATGCGACACAGCCTGAAGATGGGGAAAATTGCACTTGTTCTTCAATTGTTTTTGTACATTTTCTGTCATTTTAAGTTTTTCTTGAAGCCCGGCTTTTGCGGCGTGCCAAAATGATCAAACAAAGACAGAAAAAACACACCCAAATGACAAACAATGACAAAACATGATAAACTACAAACCCAAATGACAACAAAGTTGATAAACATCCAACAATGACAAAATGTAGTACAGGAATGTACAGGATTTCCAGTTTTTGCTGTCCTACGTAATTCGGCTCCGGACCCATGACAACTTTGGAATAGAAAGGATGTCGCCGTAGTAGACCGCATCTACAGTGACATCAACTGCATCCAATGTTATGATTTCGCCAGATCTGAAGCGCAGCGAAGCAAAAAGAGAGCTGCAAATGAATTGAGTTGTGGTGCCTGTTTTGTTAGCTCAATTTTCAATTGTATCTTTTAAAACAGAATCAGAACTACAGCACAGGTCAGGTGCTATGTTGCTGAACAAAACTTCAACAAAATCCTGCAGAGTTGTTTCTTGCAGCCGAGTCATCCGGGTCCCGGTTCGAAATGTTTTTGGAATCGAGAGCTTTGAGCTATTACATCTCGCAGCAGATTTTGCATTCATTAAGGCTTCTTCACAGATCAACCAGAGTGGCTCAAGACAGCGCTGGCCCTTCGAGCGGGTGAGAAATCGTTGAGAGGTTTGCCAAAGTGATTGGTACAAAATGCTAATTCACAAGGAGCAGACAGGAAACCCTGACTGAGTAGTTGATTTCATGTGTTGTCACTCATTGCCGGACATTACAAAAACATACAAAAACCTTGAACATGTCCAGGTTCACACTTCTTGCTGACCCACGTATTGCGGCCTGCATCGGGAATGTTCAGTTAATCCTGAATCCGGTTGGATGTTCCTAGGATGAAAAGACACGTGACACAGTGCAGCACCTGATGGCACTTCTCCAAGACGCGTGGCTTCCGGTGCAGAACGTTCCTGAGATAATTACAAACATTGAGCATACGCAGATTATTCAGAGCAGATGATCGAACCGTACTGCTCATGAATGCTTAGTGATTGGACCAGCTTTAGATGCCTTGTGCTTGCATTGTGCTTCACGGCAATCAGCAAAGGCAAAGACTCACCGAACATGTGGCAGTCCAGGTCGGGGTCTCAAGACTTAAGTGACTTTAGGCACCAAATTTGAGAAAAAATGCGCGTGTGTGCTGTGCGGGTCGCTGTGCGGGTAGGAAGTAAGACCGGGTTTGAGGAAAGTGCAGGGCCTTGGGCAGCTGACTCGCTGGGCTGAGAATGAGACGAATCGATTCTGCCGAGGAAGCGGCTGCGAGTTGCCAGTGTCGGCTTAGTTGCCGTTCTCGTTCCCCTCCTTTTGAGGCAAACATACTTGGCCATTCCTAAACTTACTGCAACATGCTGCGACACGTAGAAACCTAGGAAAATGTAGCATGTATGTATATAGATGTATGTAACACGTGTGTGACAGGTACGTGACACGTATGTGACATGTATGTCGTGACATGATGTCGGAGAAAGGTGCCATTGCCATCCCTTGTCTCACAGGTTTCGAGATGTCAATGCCGCAGCAATGCCTTGGAGGCTTCTGCCTTGGACGCTGAACATGGGCAAAATCGATTCAATCAATAGACTGAAAACAGAAACATTCTATGTCATGAAGTTATTATACATGTTATGATGAACATTGCTGAACCATCATATGATCATATACATCACAATATGAGACATTTATATACAATATGTACAGTATATATAGATGTATATGGTATATAATCTTATAATATCCTATAATGTATAATGACATGTTATGTAGTATGTTCAATTATTACAGATAATTGCAGCATCATTCATTGTTGTTTGATTCCTGTGGGATCAAAGGGTTTGCAGATTGCTGAGCTATATGAGCAAGGCAAACTCATAATCTACCGCTCGGATTGTTCTCGCCTCAGGTTTGCAAGCATCCGAGAGTTAATGTTGAGGTTGTTGAATCTGGTTGAATTGTACTGAGATTTAGTCGATCACAGCAATTGCCGGTGGTGCTTAACAGTCTTAAAAGTGATGCCAAGGAGCACGAGACCTGCACCACCAGTGCTTGACTTAGAAACATTTAGACACTGGACTTAGTTCCGAGCTTGACCTACACGGAATTGTCTCGATAGGCACTGAATCTATCTCTTTTGGCATCTTGCACTCTGTGTTCTGCCATCATGACATTGGGAGAGTGGAAAACATATGAAAAAATGCCTCTGCCATGGATCAATGTTGCCACAAAGAAGAAAGACCTGCTTCACAAGTTCTTCAAATCAAAGCCAGACTCAGGCAGCTTGCAGGAACAGTTTGTGCACTCGGCCAGGAGGAGCACTTCCTTTGTTTTATTTATTGCAACCTTTCCACTCCTTCCATTGCCGAATTCTCTCAAAATTCAAGGGCTCTTGAGCTTCTTTGAGTTTGCTGGACACTTGCAGTATTACAGTTACATCCGCAGAGTTCCTTTCTCAAACACATGCTGCTCGCAGCCAAAGCAAGCCTGTCCGGTCCAAAGGTCTCCAGTTTGCAACACAATCAACTTCACTTCTCCTGAGTAAAGTACAGCAACTCAAGTGACTTTGCCTAGGAAAGCTTCCACCTATGTTTTTGTGATTCTATGAATTCCAACTTTGAGGTGCGTACTGGCAACAACTAGCAACAAGTAACACAGTAGAAATGAAGGCAACCAAAGAAAGTTGCTTTCAACACTGAACACACGCACACTCGTTATATCTTGTGCTTGTTTGTAGCATCTCATGCGAGTTACAACAGAAAACCAAGTTGTTGGGAACCCAGTCCTTGCAGGTTCAGGTGACACAGAACTGTGATGAACTGTGTAGGTCCCTGGGTCCCTTCCTTCGAGGTCATAGCAATCTCTCTGGGTCTGCTGCTTGCCTCAAGGTGAGGGATGAACTGACATGAACTGACTCCTGGTCAAAAGTTTTTCATTTCTGTATCATTTTGTATATTTTTGTATACTCTTGCTGAGAAAGCTCGGACATAGAACGGCTTGGTCCAGCTGTCCCTTCTGTGAGGATACAGATAAAGCATGCTAAAGCCGCTAAAGCGATACTTTTTGGCCTGGGGCCGTGGTGTGTTTTGCAGGTCTTTCGTGCAATGCTATGTCGAGACCTCGGGGATAGAAAGATTTCGAGGGCACGCAGTGGACCAGTGGAAGTTGTAACTTGTCCAAGAATCCAAGGTATCATTTGCTTCGACACCAAGGACAGCAGCAGCTTCGAAGTACTGAATTAAACAGGAATAGTCGCACAACAAAAATATGTCAACAATGTGATAAACGGATATAAACGGAAGAGAGCAACCACGGCAACGGCAGCTGTAAATTCTAGAGTGGAGGAGCTGGAGCAGCATAGTCCCAAGTGCCCAAGATGTTATTGTTGAAATTTGTTGAATATTGTTGACTGATGAAGTTCAAGGAGTCGACTTCGTCGCGGGTTCTCGGCTTGCGCAGCTGGCTGGATGCTTGGAGCTTTCTTCTCCCTCACCAAACAGGTACAATAGTGGACGTACTAATCCAATCTTACTGATTTGGTATGATCCGGTCCTGTTTGATCAGTTGGTCAAGGCCATCTTTCTATTTTTGCACTCTGATGACTCTGATGTATCTCATGCCGCAAGATTTCACAAGATTTCACAAGATGTCACAACATGTCAGAAGATTTCAAGCCTTTCTTTGCCTCTCCTTGCAAAGTCGAACGTCAAAATGATAAACATAGCAGGACATTTCTGTCCATGATGTCATAATCTATCATAATCTATCATAATCTATCATAATCTATCATAATCTATCATAATCTATCATAATCTGTCATAATCTGTCAGGTTGACAGTCCGATGTCAACCGTTGGTCATCCAATCAAGTCGTCAGATTTGAGGTGGGCCCGGTCGACCTTGGGAGCCTGGCCCAGCAAAGGTGGGAGCTTCGATGGCGGAAATTGTCACATGGGATATATATCTATTTCTGGGAGGTTACATATAATATTGGTTCCGCATATTTCCGCATTCTGTTTTGTAATTCAAGGATAGCATAAAGAGTTGCCATGATTTGCGCTTGAAAAGCTAGTATTAGTTGACTTGTGCTTTCTAGGTCCTGTATACATGTATACAACCTTAGTACACATGGGAATGGGAATGCGGGAAAAAAAAGTAAGCTTGAGGCAGCCTGGCTGACCTTATGCAGCGACTGGGATCTAAACAGAGTTTCGATGGCCTACCTCGCGTTACCTCAGATTATGACGCAAAATGCTTCATTTTACTGGAAACCAGCAAAGAATTAAAAAAACAAAAAACAAACAAACAAAAAAACAAACAAAAAAACACAAATCAATAAACAAACAAAAAACAAAACAAAATCAATAAACAAAATAAACAAAACAAAAAACCAACAAAAAACAATATTCAACGCACGGTTTGAAACTCAGAGAGGCTTTGTGCTTCTCCCTAATCGCCGCAGCTTGTTGATACCACTTGCTCTCAAAGTCCACAGTCTGCTGCGTTGCCTGCTGCCAAGCTGCGACCAAAACTCCCAAAATCCAACAAGGGCTGCCTAGTCAAAGCTTCAAACAGTGCGCCTATTACCCTTGATGGGGGCAAGCAATCAGTCTACGGGGTGCCCCGGCGGCTTGCCCCCATCAAGGGTAATAGGCGCACTGTTTGAAGCTTTGACTAGGCAGCCCTTGTTGGATTTTGGGAGTTTTGGTCGCAGCTTGGCAGCAGGCAACGCAGCAGACTGTGGACTTTGCAGAGATTAGGGAGAAGCACAAAGCCTCTCTGAGTTTCAAACCGCGCGCTGTTTATTGTTTTTTGTTTTGTTTATTGCTTTGTTTTGTTTTCTTGTTTTTTTTTGGTTTGTTTTTTTTTGGGTTGTTTTTTGTTTGTTTGTTTTTTTTCATACTTTTAGTTATTTTCCATTTTCCAATGAATGAAGGTCTCTCGACGTCATAGACCTAAAGTATCTTCCAACGCTGCCAACCTACCTGCCAACCTATTTAAAACAAACATACCACAGAGATGGGCAGAACCAGGAAGCAGGTAGGCACGTCACTCTGCTACGACACACACCTCGGAGCACAGAGTACTTCACATGAAGAGATACGAGGACCATTGTGGTGCGCGGCTAATGCCAGAGCGCAGTGCCAGCAATCCTTTTTCTGCCCATGGATTGGGTGCTCTCCCTTCACGACCCTTCGCCAGTGATACAGTCAATTGCAGTACACACACACACAGAGTATCACAGAGTATTTTGTGCGGATTTGGATTGATTTGGATTGATTTGGTCTCCCAGCCGGTGTCATGTCAGGTGTCTTTGGTCCAGTCGCTCAGTGTCTTTGTCGTTTGCGTCTACCTTTCTGACCTTTCTGCTTCTACCACTCTCGTCCCTGCACGTGCCTTGAAAGCCCAGCCACAACGGTATTGTCTTTCAATGCAACCTATCCATGCTGTCGAAGATCGATGTTTTTGATACATGTTATATATTTCCATTATTTCTCTATGCGGCACACATATGTGTCACCCTGATCCTAAACCTATTTTACTGCATGGCAAATGAGGGTGACTGAGGCGATGGAACTGTGTCCTAATGTAGCTCCAAACAACCCCACCCTAAGTCTTTGTAGCGGAGAACATGCCAGCAAAATGGCAGAAATAGCCATAGTGGCATTTCAGTTGACATTGACATGATATACTTTGTATGTCTTATTCTGTCTTGTATTGAATAATTCTCAACACAGGATTAATAACCCCCCAAATAGTGGTAACATGTGATAACTTACTATTAAATTTCCAGAACAGTACAAAAGAACTATAGAAGAATATCAGAAACATAATGAGTACAAGCAATTATAAACTGTCAAGACATTCAAAAACAGCTAAAATTGTGTGGAAAGATGAAGCCCGTAGTGGGTTCCACTCCTCTCCAAATTTGGTACTGCCAATATATAAACTGGTGTTTTATTAATCTTTGGTTGACATTGGCCATAGCTCACGCAGTAGTCTTTTTTTGGTATTCACACACACAGTTGGCATAGTGCACGCTGAAACACAGGTTGAAAGCCTCCCAGGTCAAAAGACCAGGCAGCTGGCGTCTCAGTGTTTTTTTCCCCCTTGGTGAGCTGTATAAATCTGTATAAGCTGTGTACTTTTTTCCAGATGATGATTTTTTTCGAGTCACACAGAGCCCTGCTTTTTGAGTCTTTTTGACACCTAACTCTAGGCTCTTGCTTGAAAATCCCATGTTGTTCGAGGACCTGCGTGTAGATTGTGTAGCAACTGTCAACGCCGTTGCCGGCACTGTGTCTTGGTGCAGGACAGCTTGGATTCAGAGCTAGAAGCCCTCTCATGTGAGCCGGAAGAGCAGGTGCGTCCAAGAGGGGTAGAGAGGGTTAAAATGGCTTAGAGTTTTTCAATGAATCTACAGAATCTACATTCCATTGGTTTGCCCAGGTTGACAAAGACAATCAACCTGAAGCTGGCGAAGAGGTTCCACTTTGAAACTACATTGTAGACTCTTGTGGACATTGGACAGCAGACTTCAAGTGCCAAAGTGGGCTTTTTGATGATTTCCAGTTTCAACTTGGCAAAGCGCTCAGGGCCTAGATGCAGCAGCTTCCTTGCGAAAGCGAATAGAAGAGGCATCCTGAGTTGCACTCCGGTGTCGTTCGTGCTGTTTTGTGGGGACACTTCTCAACCGTGGCATGCCTTCTCTTTATTTGAAGTGAATTTGGATCGCCATTTGTGACGGGTAGGACGGTTAGGACGGGCAGGGCACGACACTGCGTAGCTGCAGAGAGTGCTTGAAACCTGACGACTCTAACCCACACCACAAGACCCCGGCATTGAAGGTGTTGAAGCGCATACGGTCTGTATACGCATCGGAACAGAAGAGACAAGGATGTAGCAGCTGGTGCCAAAAAGCGTGATACATCCGGCATCCCCAATTCAACAGAATTTGATATCCAGTCTGCGGACATCAAATCTAGACCATCTAGGGTTCTTTTTTTCATCATTGACGCCTCCAACTGCCTTTGAATTGAACGCACGCGGACACACACACAAATCTTCAGTTCAGACCTTTGACGAGGCTAACCGTTTTGAGTTGACTTACCCAGCAGTGGAATGGCAGTGACACGCCGAACTTATCCAACTGGGTGCCAACATGTGCCAACTCCTCTCAGCAATCACAGGCCACAGAAAGCATACCATATTATGATACCATAAGACACCAGATGGACCTGTATGTGTGAAAGCTTTTGGATGTATATATATAATTATATATATTATATATATATAATATGTATGTATGCAAAGGAG